GGCTGCCGCAGGCGAGCACCGACTGAGCCTAGAGCGGATGGAGGGAGGAGACAAGAGAGGGTTCAGGCGCTGGGGGTAAGCTGCCTCCTTTTACTGTGCCGAATTTTAAATATTTTCCTTCATAAACGGAGATAATAAGGTTGAACCTAAGGGAATCAAAACTTTGAGAAGATTTGTAACCTGGGGCAAGGAGAGCTGATGAAGTTAAAGAGACAGAAAAGAGATACCTTTACTATCCCTACCTTTTCAAATATTTCCCCTAAAAGAAACCAATATCCTTTGTATCTTCTCACTGGGGTGCCCCTCACAAACCCTTACACTACCCCAGACGAGATCAGAAGTGGCAGACTGCTGGCAGCCTCTCCATCAAGGCTACCTAGGGCGTGGTGAAGAGCTGAGAGAGGTAGACCAGCCCTAGGCAGTCCTGGCTGCAGAAGGGCTGAGAGTGTGGGGCACCCTCTGGCATTCTCCAAGCAACTCCCATCCCAGGTCCCTTCCTCTGACAGAATGCCACTACCTCCCCACCAAGACCATCCCTATCGAAAAGTCTCTATATTTTTCAAGGTTCTAATGGCAGCAAAGTAAAACCAAAATTATAGCCCATTCTCTCCCCACCCCATTTCCTTTTTCTTTGAGGCGCAAGGCAGTTTGAAACCTTTCTGATCTTGTCAGGTCCCCCACACCCACCTGCCTTTTTCAGAAAAAAAAATTTCCTAGTTTGGTGTCTAGACACCTGGGATGTGTCTGAGGCCCTGAAAGAAGAACCTCTTTACTGCCCTGAATTCTATCTTCTGAGCAAAAATTCCAGCCACCCCCTCTCCACTTCTCCAGACCCCTAATTTTACTAGTGAGCCCAGTATGGGGAGTCCAGGATTACAGCTCAGCCACTCTCCCCACTGACTGGAGATTTGAAGCCGGGCAGCTCTCTCCTTGGTCGGGCATTGAGAGCTGGCATGAAAGTCAATGCTGGGTACCCCCACCCCAGCCAACCTGGGATCCTTCACTGCCTCCCCAAACTTCCTCCATAGTAAGCAAAAGCAGTTCCCTCATCCGGATGCAGAGACCTCGTTTCTTTTACAAACCCACCCATAAATTTTATAACAGGTAGTTAAAAATTACGACAAGGAAACACTGGCCCAGCTTTTCACAATGGGCAGCGGGGAGAAAGGGACAGCGCTGCAGGCAGCTCACCGGAAATTTTACTTCTAGTCTGTGGCACAACCTGTCCTAAGTTCCCTCTGTTTGGGGCTGGGGTGACATTCCCAGCCACCCGGAAGTCCAGAAAGTCATAGGGCATCTTATTTGGGGAGGCCAGCCTATCCTTGCATTGAAGGGTTCCCGCAAGGAGCTCTTCTGAATGCTCACTACTCACTATACCCTGAGCCCCCACCGCAATTTCTTCAACACCCGCACCTTTTTGGGCCTCTGAAATAAGAGAGCCAGAGGGAGAGAAAATGCGGAGAACTTAAAAAAAAAAAACAAACAAAAAGCCAGAGAAACGAATTTGCCCTCCAATTTAATAGCTACATTATCCTGTCTCTACCGATGAGATTAGAATAATAAATTCAAGGCGAAATGAGCGAGCTGCTTCAACTCAGCATTTTGAAAGATACTATTTTTCACAAATCACAAATAGCTTTCGGAAGCCACTTTGATTGGCTAATAAAAAAGTAGAGAATGGGAGAAAGTCCTATCTGCAGCAGAATGGTCCCCCATTCCGGTAATGGGACGGCAGGAGCATTGGGGAGAACGCGTTTCTAAAGAGAGCGCATTCTGCTCGCAATTACGTTCCCCCATAAAACGGGATTTTACCTGCTTTTCTTTCCAAACGAGAAAACAGAAGCGGTGAGCAGGAGGAGCGGGGGAGCTGGTGCTACATGAGGGGGTGGCTGGGGTTCCATTGGTCTGAGCCTCCAGTTGCCCGACATTTCCAACGAAGCTGGTGCCAGACGCACCCCACCCTACGACGCGCCGGGCTTGGGGCCACCGACATTTCTAAGTAGGGCCTGGGATGAATGGGGCATTCGGAGTGGGGAAAAGGCGAGGAGGCCCTTTCGAACCACTTCATGCAGGGCTCATCCCGCTTGGCTACTGGGCTAGATATTTTTACTAATAGCAATCATAATTCCACATTTGAAAATGAAAGGACCCTCAGCCATCCCTTGGAGCATGAAGGGGATGTCAGTGCGAAGGCCTGAGGGAGGAGTGAAATGCTCTTTTGGGGCCTGTATGCCCAAATCGGGTCACCAGGCTGGCTCCTCCACTCGAAGCCCAGCCGAGACCCAAGGTTCCATAGATTTCCCCAGAGCTCCTGCTGGAAGCCATCCCCGCAGCCTTTGCTTCCAATCTGCTGCCTCTCTCCAGCTGCAGGAGTCCCCAGTGAATGTCCACTTGACCCAATCCAGTACTTGGGGACCACTTTTTATGGGAG